TTGCACTAAACTAACATTTCCTCTGTTCATTAGTTATGTTTTGAGGCTTTACAAATAAATTCCATTTTGATTTTTTATTCACATAATGAATTTTTATTCACACCAAAAAATAGAAGATTTACTGTTATGCAATACTGTAATAATTGTATAAATATCATCACCATATTTGTGAATGTATATTAGACCCACCAGCTGATGTGTATTAGACGTGTGGGTCGTTTGTTTACTCTTGAATATCGGCAAAAATTTAACATTTCCGCTACTTTGAGCTCAGTTTCAAGCCATTTCCAATGCTAAGACCAATCAAAATCATCTCTATTTCTGTAATATGTCTTCCATTCTATCAAATGAGACCAAGAAATCGCAAATACAACTATAAAAAACATACGAAAAAACACTGCAAAGTTGCTGTTTTAATCGAAAAATCATGATTTCATTTTTTTTCTCTCATTATACACAGTGTGCTGCAGGATCTGTTTTATGTGGTGCACACATACCACATAGATGTATTCTCTCATATCTAGGCCCAAATGTACCACTCACAGTTTATCAGAGTGAGCTGAGCTCATGGCGTAGATCTACGGTTTGGACCCTGAACGTAAAGCCGTAGATCTACGGGACGGACCCTGAAAGGGTTAATGGGTGGTTTCTTGTACTCATTCGATAGAAAAAACAGTTCTAGTGAAATAGTTATGATTTTTGTCGACTAGTACACTGGAATTGGCTGAAAATAGGGCTCAAAGTGGGCAAAATCGCCGATGCGTAAACATCATCGAGACCGCTAACTTCGCGAGAGCATAATTCCGTAAGTTTTCCATCAAATTTCATACTTTTGGTGTCATTATGATCGGGAAAAGATTCTCTATCTTTTCATAAGAACAAATATTTTTTTTATTTTTTTTTTTTTGAAATTTTGGCAACCCTGAGAAAAAGTCTCTGAGAGGGCCTGGAGACCCTCAAAAGGTTAAAGGAATGGGTGGTACAGAGTTCTATAAGAACATAAGAACATAAGAATGTAGGAACACTGCAGAAGGCCTACTGGCCCATACGAGGCAGGTCCTTATCAAAACGACATCTACCTAAAGCTACTCAAGAAACAACTCCCGCACCCCCCAACACCAATCAAACCCAGCCCCTCCCACTCATATATTTGTCCAGTCTCTTCTTAACCCTTTGACTGTTTCAGGCCCCTCTCTGAAACTGTCATTCTATGTCGCTCAATTTTTGAAAAAAAAAAAAAAATTATTTTTTCTTATGAAATGATAGAGAATCTTTTCCCGATGGTAATGACACCAAAAGTTCGAAATTTGGTCGAAAACTCGTGGAATTATGGTCCCGCGATGTTAGCGGTATCGGCGACATATGCGTATCGGCGACATATGCGTATCGGCGATTTCGCCGACTTTGAGCCCAATTTTCAGCCAATTCCATTGTTCCAGTTGACCAAACTCATAGCTAATTCTTTAGAACTCCATTTTATCTATCAGCTGAGTACAAGAAACCTCCCATTTACTAATTTGGACTACCCAATATGGTGGTCAGAAATTGGCAATTTGGCCAATTTCACGCAAAATAAAAAAGATGCCAATTTCAAAATAGGGTCCAGAATAAACAAGGTAGACATTCGTGGCACTAAAATAACATATGCTCTGTTCATTAGTCACATCTCTAGGCCCCTCTTATATTATTATTGCTTTCTATTTTTTTTTCATACAAAAAAATAAAAAATTTACTGTTATGCAGACGACTGCATTATTGTAAAAATGGTATAAATAATATCAGTGCACTAGTGAAAGAATATTAGACTCCCTAGTTGACGTGTATTGGACGTGTGGTGTGATTTATTTACTCTTCAACATTGGTAAAAATCGAACATTTTCGCTACTTTGAGCTTAGTTTCAAGGTCGTTTTCATCGTAAAAGTAATGAAAATCATCTCCATTTCTGTAATATGTTTTCCATTTTATCACCTAAGACCATGAAAACGCGAATACAATGATAAATACTATACGAAAATACACCTCAAAGTCGGCGTTTTATTCCAAAAAAACGATCAGAGTTTTTTTTTTTCTCATTACGCAATGTGTGCTGCAGGATTTTTTTTATGTGGTGCACACTGACCACACAGACCCATTCTCTCACATGTGGGCCTACCAGCTTTCTCCCACTTGATTTGAAGCCGCTAGAATTATTGAGTATATATACGTCAGAAACATTGGCTCGTAAGACGTATTTATACGTCGAAAACAGTCAAAGGGTTAAAGCTACCCAAGGTCCTAGCCTCTATCACCCCACTGGGAAGACTGTTCCACGCATCTACAACTCTGTTAGAAAACCAGTACTTACCTATGTCCTTTCTAAATCTAAATTTATCCAACTTAAATCCATTATTCCTGGTTCTTACCTGGTTCGACACCCTCAGTACTTTATTAATGTCTCCCTTGTTTATGCCCGTCATGCACTTATACACTTCAATGATATCTCAGATTTGTTTTGCGACAGAGATCCAGTGACTCTCAAGCTGGTCCTAGTGGCATTAAAAGAAGAAGGGAAGTAACCCCAGAAAAGGACTTGCTTCCTCAACTCCTAATGGAAGGGGATTCCTTTTCTAAATAATAACAACTTCCACACTCTCCCCTCCTCCCATCCCATCAATCATCACCAGATCTTCAATAAAGGTAAGTGTCATGTATTCTTTTCTTAGCAGAGTAGTAATTGTGCATGTATTCTTCAGTTTGTGTGTATTAAAATTAATATTTCATGTGGTCCACTGTACTATTATTAATATTCTGTAATATATCTTTCATACTATCAAATGAGACCAAAAATATGAGAATACAACCATTAAAACTATACGAAAATATACCACTAAGGAGCGGCTAATGGCTGATAAGTGAACTCCGTTATTTATGGTCCAATTTCTTTCAATTTTTCTGTACTTTAAGAAGTATCTTTCCATCATACATTGCCCAAGTTTCAATAAGATAGTCCAACAAACAATTATATTTTTTTATTAACACATCGGCCGATTCCCACCAAGGCAGGGTGGCTCGAAAAAGAAAAAATTTCATCATTCACTCCATCACTGTCTTGCTAGAGGGTGCTTTACACTACAGTTATAAAACTGCAACATTAACATGCCTCCTTCAGAGTGTAGACACTGTACTTCCCATCTCGAGGACTCAAGTCCAGCCTGCCGGTTTCCCTGAATCCCTTCATAAATGTTACTTTGCTCACACTCCAACAACACATCAAGTATTAAAAATCAATTGTCTCCATTCACTCCTATCAAATATGCTCATGCACGCTTGCTGGAAGTCCAAGCCCCTCGCACACAAAACCTCCTTTACCTCCTCCCTCCAACCTTTCCTAGGCCGACCCCTACCCCACCTTCCCTCCACTACAGATTTATACACTCTTGAAGTCATTCTGTTTTGCTCCATTCTCTCTACATGTCCAAACCACCTCAACAACCCCTCCTAAGTCCTCTGGATAATAGTTTTGGTAATCCCACACCTTCTCCTAGTTTCTGAACTACGAATTCTCTGCATTATATTCACACCACACATTGCCCTCAGATATGACATCCAATTCCCTAGATCAAGAGCAAGAGCCCCTCACCAGTGTTAAGAAACCTCCCTCTCGCATCTGGAAATTTCCCTCGCGTCTGGAAGCAAAAAATTAACTGATTGACTGCTCCTAACTGGAAAAACTCGTACATGGATGCACTCGTTAGTAGAGATTCCAGCATACTGAAGACTCTTGTTAGGGTATGGAAGACGGCAAGGAGGGGAGAGGGAGAAGAGGTTATCTCTACCATCATCACTACCACCCTCTACCACAATCACTACCACCCTCTACCACAATCACTACCACCCTCTACCACCATCATTACCATCCTCTACTGCCATCACTACCACCATCACTACTACCCTCTACCACCATCACTACCACCCTCTACCATCATCGCTGCCACCCTCTACCACCATCACTACCACCCTCTACCACCATCACTACCACCCTCTACCACCATCACTACCACTTTCTAAAACAATCACTACCACCATCTACCTTTGTAAAGGGTGGTAGTGATATTTCTCCACAAAACTTTGCAACTCATTCTACTTTTGTACTTTATAAAAGGGCTGGCACTTGGAACTTTTCTGGCCCCATGGTGGCTTATTTAGCAGTTGCACTCAATAAACAAGCACAAAAAACAATGGATTATTGCAAAACGTTTCATATGAGTACGCAGGGTAATGTTCACTTGATGAGGAACAAAGCCAGACTGACTCAAAATGCATGCATGGGATGCTTTGTATGGGCACTGGCAGACGGACACATTCCGTACAGAGGACGAAAACCAAGGTGATGAAAGAAAACAGGGACAATATTTTGATGAAAAAAGTCGTCAACAACCGAATTCGATGAAAACCAGGGCAAATAAAAAACCAAGGATCCACTGAACATCCTCTGGGTCAGAGTTAACCCAAATTACTCGCTATCCTCAGCTACTGTGGATGCAACTGCAGCATCAAAGGCAATTCCAGGGAGAGGCTGCTGGAATTAAAGCTGATAAAAGATAAATGCCTTTCAATTGTTATGTATCTCATATTATTATACAGTAAAGTGTACTTTTCTAACAAATTCCCCCACATATTTACTGCTAGGTGAGCAGGGACAGCAGGTGTAGGGAAACAGCCTCAATATTTCCACCTTACTTTGTAACTAACAATGTTTTATTACATGGAAACTATATTATCTTTTCCATGAGAAAGAGGAACAGAATTCTTTCTCCATAAACCATGAATGTCATAAGAGGCAACCAAAATGCCAGGCACAAGGGGCTAGTATCCCCTTCTCCCATATAAATTACTAAATTTCAAAATGAGAAACTTCAATTTTTCTTTTTAGGTCACCCTGCCTCAGTGGGATAAGACCGATTTGTTGAAAGAAGAAAGAAGCATAAAAGAAATAAAACTTTGAATTTGAGTGACTCACCTGCAGATTATTGGCATGATGATACATGGTGAGGATGCGTGCTATACCCAGCCAGTTGAGCATGAGCCAGGCTAGGGGAAGACCCAGTGGGATGAGTGGAAGTGCCACACACACTGGTCCAATCAGAAGCACCTCTGTCCAGTCGCCAACCCAACTCCCATAGTAAACTCGAAGGGCATTGATCACAAGAACAAGACCCTGATAAAATTATTATTATTATTATAAACTCCAAACATCATGGGGAAGTGGATAAGAGTCCTTCCTGCATAAGTCATATGTGTATAAATGACTAAATGGGTCACCCTGCTTTGGTGGGATATGGCCAGTTAAAAAAAAAATCGCTCCTTTTTCACATCGCCACACCTTGGCGAGAGACAGCCGGTGCAGAAAAAAAAGTATCCCCAAAGGGATATCTTAACCCCTTAACTGTCCAAATGTAGATCTATGTCGTTACTGCTATGCTCCAAATGTAGATCAACGTTTTACTTTTCTTGCCTCCAAATTTGGCACAATTGGCCTGAGATGCCTGGTTAGCATAGAATGGGTCTTAGCACTCGGTGTGCACCATATTAAAAAAATCTGGGACCACTTAGTACCTTGTGGGAGCACCAGTTCAATTGAGCGCCAGCAAACACCAGGGATTCACTGATGTCATGTCATATTAACACTCCCCTTTTAAGAGGAAAGTGATGTTGACCCAAGTTTAGTGGATTAGAGATGGATATGGCTACAAGTGGTCGAGGAAATATCAGAAACCTTGATAATAACCCATTTCTGCAACATCCTTTCAATTTTGATACCACTGGTAGTATCATCCTGCCAGAATGTCCTATAACCTATGACCTAAATAAAGAGAAACAATTCTGGAACACGTGTAATACGTGTCTGGCAGGCTGGGTGGGTGGGTGGCTGGCTGGGTGGGTGGGTGGCTGGCTGGCCAGGTTGCTGGCTGGCTGGGTTGCTGGCTGGCCGGGTTGCTGGCTGGCCGGGTTGCTGGCTGGCCGGGTGGTTGGCTGGCCGGGTGGCTGATTGACTTTGGCTCTGTCTATCTCTGTCTGTACCTATCTATGCCTGTCTCTGAATCTCTGTCTCTTTCTACCTCTATCACTGTCTCTATCTTACAGGTATACATAAATACAGTGGACCCCCGCATAACGGACGCCTTGCATAGTGGACAATCCGCATAGCGGACGCTTTGTTCGCTAAAATTTTGCCCCGCATAGTGGACAAAAACCCGCTCAGCGGCCTTCGTCCGAGACGCGTCCAATGTGCGCCCTCAGCCAGCCTCACATGTGCCGCCTGTGCCATTGTTTACCAGCCAGCCTCCGCGGTAACATTCAAGCATACAATCGGAATATTTCGTATTATTACAGTGTTTTCGGTGCTGTTTCTGGAAAATAAGTGACCATGGGCCCCAAGAAAGCTTCTAGTTCCAACCCTACAGCAATAAGGGTTAGAATTCCTATAGAAATGAAGAAAGAGATCATTGATAAGTATGAAAGTGGAGTGCGTATCACCGACCTGGTCAGGTTGTACAAGAAACCCAAATCAACCATCTCTTCTATTGTGGGCAAGAAAACGGCAATCAAGGAAGCTGTTGTTGCCAAAGGTTTAACTGTGTTTTCGAAACAAAGATCGCAAGTGATGGAAGATGTTGAGAGACTCTTATTGGTGTGGATAAATGAAAAACAGCTAGCAGGAGATAGCGTCTCTCAAGCGATCATATGTGAAAAGGCTAGGAAGTTGCATGAGGATTTAATTAAAAAAATGCCTGCAACTAGTGATGATGTGAGTGAATTTAGGCCAGCAAAGGTTGGTTTGAGAGATTTAAGAAGCGTAGTGGCATACATAGTGTGATACGGCATGGTGAGGCTGCCAGTTCGGACCACAAAGCGGCTGAAAAATATGTGCATGAATTCAAGGAGTACATAGAAACTGAAGGACTGAAACCTGAACAAGTGTTTAATTGTGATGAAACAGGCCTGTTCTGGAAGAAAATGCCAAGCAGGACCTACATTACTCAGGAGGAAAAGGCACTCCCAGGACATAAGCCTATGAAAGACAGGCTTACTTTGTTGATGTGTGCCAATGCTAGTGGTGATTGCAAAGTTAAGCCTTTATTAGTGTATCACTCTGAAAACTCCCAGAGCGTTCAGGCAAAAGAATGTCCTCAAGGATAATTTGTGTGTGCTGTGGAGGGCAAACAGTAAGGCATGGGTCACTAGGGAATTTTTCTATAACTGGTTACACCATGCATTTGCCCCCAATGTGAAAGATTACCTAACTGAAAAGAAATTAGAACTTAAGTGCCTCCTGGTGTTAGACAATGCCCCTGGTCATCCTACAGACGTGGCAGAGCGACTTTATGGGGACATGAGCTTCATTAAGGTGAAGTTTTTGCCTCCTAATACCACTCCTCTCCTGCAGCCCATGGACCAGCAGGTCATTTCCAACTTCAAGAAACTGTACACAAAAGCTCTGTTTCAAAAGTGCTTTGAAGTGACCACAGACACTCGATTGACTCTAAAAGAGTTTTTGGAAGGATCACTTTAATATCCTCAATTGTGTAAACCTTATAGGTAAGGCTTGGGAGGGAGTGACTAAGAGAACCTTGAACTCTGCTTGGAAGAAACTGTGGCCAGAATGTGTAGACAAAAGGGATTTTGAAGGGTTTGAGGCTAACCCTGAGAGGAGTATACCAGTTGAGGAATCAATTGTGGCATTGGGGAAGTCCTTGGGGTTGGAGGTTAGTGGGGATGATGTGGAAGAGTTGGTGGAGGAGGACAATGAAGAACTAACCACTGATGAGCTGATAGATCAACTTCAAGAGCAAGAGGCCAGACCTGGGGAAAACTGGTTCAAAGGAGGGGAGAGAGAAATTGAAGGAATTGCCTACTTCAAAGATTAAGGAAATGTGTGCAAAATGGCTTGAAGTGCAAACCTTTTTTGATGAAAATCACCCTCACACAGCTATTGCAAGCCGTGCTGGTGACTGTTACAATGACAATGTTGTGAACCACTTTAGACAAATCATAAAGGAACGAGAGGTACAGGCCACTATGGACAGATATGTTGTGCGAAAGAAGTCCAGTGACTCTGAAGCTGGTCCTAGTGGCATTAAAAGAAGAAGGGAAGTAACCCCAGAAAAGGACTTGCCTCCTCAAGTCTTAATGGAAGGGGATTCCCCTTCTAAACACTAACACTCTCTCTCCCCTCCTCCCATCCCATCAATCATCACCAGATCTTCAATAAAAGTAAGTGTCATGTAATTGTGCATGCCTTTTTCAGTTTGTGTGTACTAAAATTAACATTTTTTTGTGGTAAAAAAATTTTTTTTTCATACTTTTGGGTGTCTTGCACGGATTAATTTTATTTCCATTATTTCTTATGGGGAAAATTCATTCACATAGCGAACATTTCGCATAACAGCCAGCCCTCTTGCACGGATTAAGGTCGCTATGCGGGGGTCCACTGTAGTTATTATACAGAGTGGCCACAAAAACACTCCCTGATTTCAAACACGTTTAACAACTAACTTTATTCTAATAATCTTTCATAGTTAGTAGCTTCAGATGCAGGATTTCATTCAGTTTCACGTGGTATAGGGTAGCATTAACCAGTAATCAGTCCAAACACATATATACGTTCACTACACTAGTGCCTCGAAAATTTTGAAAAATAAAACAATCTTTTTTTTTATTGAAAAAAAAAAATTCTAAGTGCTATAGGATAAAAAAAAAATTTTAGGATCAGTATTTACCAAAATACGAGGCCCAGAAGTTAGCACTGGATGCTCATTTGACAACAACAGTGAGTCTTGCCGCTTGCAGAAGTGTTGCCGATATACCTTTTTCTATTTTTCATATTACACGTATTTTATATAATTTTTATGTTCTGATAATTACAATTTATAGTAGTTCTTGTCATTTTATAACCAATCTTTGTTCTGACACTAGTATTAGGTACTGAAATTGTACTCAAATTGACAAAACACACTGACAGGTGGACATTTACACCTGCCTTGGTCATTTACTATTGTCTTCTAACATATACAAAGTATTTATAGGTCCCAGCAATGTTTTGGATATATGGAAGAAGAAGAAGAAGAAGAAGAAGAATAAGTAGAAGAAGTAGAAGTAGAAGAAGAAGAACACCAACACCATATCCCCTTTAAAATCAGGCATAATTACAGATAATACCACAGACCACTACCCTACTTTTCTCATAACAACTCTTGGTAAATTACCCCAAGACACTACTAAAGTCACCTTCAGACTTCACAATGAGGCAGCCATTAATAACTTCACAACAGCAGTAACAAACATTGACTGGCACACTGAGCTAGAAATCTATACAGATATTGACGAATGTATTAATAATTTTCTAAAAAAGACCCAATACCTGCTATAATAACATCACTTGCCTAAAAAAACTAAACAGATGACAGCTAAGAACTGAACATCCCTGGTTTAACAGCCAGCAATCTCAAATCCATAAATACAAAACACCAATATGAAAAACAGTACAGAATGGGTCACATAACCAAGACCAAACAAACGTTACTCGTCAATCCTAACCAGCCTGATAAAGAAGGGTAAAAAAATTGTATTAAGAGAACAGATTATTCCAACTTACGAGGTGATATAAAAAAGCCTGGAAAACTCTATCAGAAATTCAGGAACCAAAAAAGATATCACGAAATCGCGAAATAAACTTAGCCAAAATCAGATGAACCCCAACTCCCACCAACAGACACAGCAACAGACTCAATGACTTCTTCTCCCACTATAGGACAAAACCTTGCCAAAAAATCACAAGCTCAGATTCCCCACCAAATGACTACCTCACCGGCAACTACCCGAACACACATTCCTAGCTCCGACTAAACCCATACGAAAGTCTCCCTTATAACAACACACTAAAAAACAAGCAGGGATTTAAATACCTTACCACCCTTATATACAAAAAAGTGTCAGAAGTGCTACACCATCATGCAACACTCTTTAACAAATCCATTGATCCTACACACTTCCCAACAGTAACTCAAAATAGCAAGGGTCACCCCGATCCACAAAGGAGGAGACCCAAACTGAGTTTTTGAATAACTATAGGCCAATATCCCATTACACCCTCTCTCAAAAATCATCGAAAAATTATTTCATAAACGAATCTACTCCTACCTTATCTCCAAAACTTACTCAACCCCTGCCAAT